TCTCAGCCTACAGAGTAGCTAGGATTACAGGTATAAGCCACAGGCTCCAGCTAAGTTCCTTTTTTATTTGTATAAGAGTAAAGAAGCAATACCATTTACTATTAAGGCATTTATTTCCTATAACAGTTAAGGCAGGAATCAGGTGACTGAAAAAATGAGGTCCAAGTAGGAACTGGAATAGCAGCCAGGCTGGACTGGTACTAAAGTACAGACATAGGGATTCTGAATTTTCTCCTGATGTAGATTTCAGGGTGTTCTAGGGACCAAGGTGAGCTTGAGCCCTAAGCTTCTGGTTGGATTGCTTATGTTCTCTTCTTGGTTAGACACACACATCTATCTTCTTACTCTCCTTCCTCTCTTTCTTTTCCTCTTCCTCCTCCTCCTCTTTTTTCTTATTCTCCTCTTTATTCTTCTTTTCAAGGTAAAAAGAGCCCAGAGAAGTTCTCCATTTTTCTTCACCCAACAAAAGATAGAAGTTTGGCCATCAACATCTGACCACATCTGCCCACAGCATCCCTCAATTCTTAATGCCCTGTGACACTCCCTACCCAGATTAGTGACACCTGTCAGCAGCTGGGCAAGCCCAGCTACACAGATCACTTGCCAGATGATCTAGTTATAATTTGGAAAGTTGGTTCCAGTCCTTTCGAAGATTTCAAATAAGTATCTCTTAGATGACCGAATCTTCATTGCTAAGCTTGACCACAACCCCCCCCCAAAAAAACCCTAAAAACAAAAAATACCCCACACTCTTGTTTCTGCTTAGAGTTGCTCTTTTTTCTTCTTTGATTTTCACAATTGAGTAACATCCACTCCAGAGTTGCAAAAGATTGTTTCTGTGTTTCCACGAACCCAAAGCCTAACATGGTGATTTGGGACCGGCACAACCTACTCCATTTGGGAGACAGTTTGCTTCACCAAATCTCTGGAGATGACCGGGTCCTTTTCATGGAAAAAAAACTTTGGTAGGGATTTATTTCTAGAAATAAAAGATCTATTCTACAACTGCCTTGGGATATTTTAAACATCAACAAGAAAGTTATATATTAACAAGCTATACTCTCTATATATCTGTTTATCCCAAAGGAAGTGATTAAAATTTGCTGACAGCTTTAAAAACATGTCCAGCTAATCACTAGACTGTTCCAAGTTTAATCAGTAACTCAGTTTAAAAACCAGAGTGAGGTTCAGGGACTTGTAAACACATATCATGGTGACAATGACTGGTTCTAAAATTCTCCACCTTCCACTCTTGCTGGTGTCCTTTTCATCAGTCCTAGTGGCTTCAACTAAAACTTCTCTGTCACCTACTCCAGTGACAACAATTTCTTTCCCACATTTCCAGCTGTTAGATTTTTCTTACTGGTATCTTCCCAGCCCCTTCAACTCTCAGATGTCCTGTTTTTAGCCAAAGCCTACCCTCTCTCCTCATCACTCCATTCTTTTTCAGCCAACACCACCCTCACATGCCCAGCCATTTCACACACATTTCTTTGTGAGTAAAAATTTTCAGCACTGTTCATTGATAGCAGAGGAGGCACATCTTTGGAGAATGACATGGCTCCCGAAATTCATCTCAAAGAATTTTTTTGTTAGTTTCTTCTCAGAGCCATCCTGGACTGCCAAAAAATGTCAGAAGTTGAGCTGTGGCTCAAGTGGTAGAGCACTATGCTTGAGCAAAAAAACCCAGGGAGCCGGGCACCAGTGGCTCATGCCTGTAATCCTAGCTACTCAGGAGGCTGAGATCTCAGGATTGCAGTTCAAAGCCAGCCCGGGCAGGAGAGACCGTGAGACTCCTATCTCCAATAAACCACCAGAAAAATGGAAGTGGCACTGTGGCTCAAGTAGTAGAGCACTAGCCCTGAGCTGAAGAGCTCAGGGACAGTGCCCAGGCTCCGAGTTCAAGCCCCACAACTGACAAAAAAAAATCCCGGGTACAGAACCCAGACACTAAGTTCACAAAAATTCAATACAGTTTGTTTTTTTTATATCTATAGTCACCTTATGGTGCAACTGACCACCAGAGCCCACCAGAAATCATTTCTTGTATTGTCCTTGTTGGGGAATCTCAGCTCCCTTCTTGGATTGACAAATCTTCCCCCCCTCCTTTTTTTTTTTTTTTAGACAAACTCTTGCTATGTAGCCCAGGTTGTCCTTAAAATCACAACCCTTCTCGTCTCCTCTCTACTGTGCTGGAACAACCACCATGTTGGCTGTCTTCTCTTTTGACATGATCACTTTTTTGAATATGCTCGTACTGTTGCTTGCACTCAGGGCCTTGTGCTCTTGCTTAGCTTTATTGCTCAAGGGTGATACTCTACTAGTTGAACCATATCTCTACTTCCGAAAGCTCTTTGCTACTTTAATTGGAGATAAGTATCTCACAGACTCTTCTGCCCAGGCTAACTTTGAAATGAGATCCTCAGATCTCAGCCTCCTGAGTAGCTAGGATTACAAATGAGACTACAAGTGTGAACCACCAGTGCTAGATATTGGTGCATATTTTAATTCCCTTATACAGCCTCCCCTAATGCCTACTGTTTGGATAACTGAGCAAAATTCTTATGAGTTCTTGTGCCATATTTTATTTATTTATTGAGTAATGGATTGATTACACAGTTGGGGAGTAAATCCAGTCCTCTACCACTCAATTATATACTCAGCCTAAAATAACATCCATACACATTTGCTTTATCTGTTTCTCTTTTGCAGTACTGGGGATGAAATCCAGGGCAAGATCTCATACATTCTAAGCAAGCACTGTACCATTGAGCTATACCCACAACTCCTGCATGCCATATTTTACATTTTGCAAAGCCAGTACTCACACACATCATGTCACTTGCCATTTACAATGCCTCTGCAATCTAGTTATGACTAACTGGTATCATTACAATATAGCAGTTAAAGCAACTGAATAAGGCTGGGCCTTGAAACTAAAGTTCTTAGAGCAATGTCTTGTCTCCTTCAATGTTCCTGAGTAAAGACACGACTTACCAGTCCCTTGTTTGATCAGAGTTTGAGGATAAATACAGAGATTACTGCTGTTTAGTATACCCTCATTAACTTCCTTTATATGAAACTAACATGAATAATTTGAGTTTGAAGGTTTGGAGTATAAGGGCTGGCATGTCTACTACATGTGAGGCTGTAGGTTCCATCCCCAGCACTGAAAAACAACTCACACAAACAAAACAAAATACTGCTGAAGATTCAGAGTATAAATCAGAAAGGGAAAAAGAATGTGGGAAAAGCAGAAAAATCTGAACCCATGAGATATCACTTTGAGTAAGAAAGGGAATTTGGGACGTAGAAAGAAAAGCTTCAGTTTCCATAACATGAGGTGCTGAGCAAAAAATGTCATCAAGAGTCAGTAAGATTTTCTAACATTTATATAGGTATGCTGTGAAGGCTAAGAGAGAAAAGATGTCAAACACACTAAGGAAATTGAGCTGGGTACTGGTGGCTCATGCATTTAATCCTAGCTACTCAGGTGACTGAGATCTGAGAATCACAGTTGGAAGCCAGCCAGGCAGGACTGTCTATGAGACTCTTACTTCCAACCATCAAAAACCCTGTGGTTCGAGTAGTAGAGAGCCAAACTTGAGCAAAAATGCTAGGAGGTAACACCTAGGCCCTGAATTCAAAACTCACTACTGGCCCAAGCATGTGCTTGCACGCACACACACATACTCTCTCTTTCTCTCTCCCTCCCCACCTCTCTCCCTCTCTCTCTCTCTCCCTCTCTCTCTTTCTCTCTCCCTCCCTGTCTCTCTCTCAGAATATAGGAATTTAAGTAAAAATTTTAAAAAAGAATATTAAATGTGTACACAGCCTTGCTGACCTCTGCATGCTATGCTTTGCATCTGTGTCCCCAAAGCACCAGGCTGGTGGCCTGTTATGGATGAAGTCAGGAGGGTAGACAGAGACATTTACCAGAGTTCTGGCCTGACTCCAGGGAGCAGCATAGGACCAGTGGGAGCACCCCACATCTGAGGTGCTCCAGGCCCATGAGAACGGATTACCGGTGCCCTCCCCTCCTCACAAGTAGCAAGGTGGGCACCTGTTCCAGAAGGCTACTTAAGATCAGGTTAAGGAAAGTCTTAGACAATACTTCTCCAGATTCTGGAAATGTCCTCTGTACTGTTCATATATCCAGAAGCCCTGGGAATTAGGCCAAATAAGCCCCGTAGGGGTGTGATAAACTGCTTTCACTCATTCCCACTGGCCCCACCCCATACAGTCTACCTATCTTAGAGAGTCCCACTGAAGGCATCCTTTCTATTTTCTGTGCCTCAGGCCCCTGCTGTGTCTACAATTAGGTGTCTTCTCTGAACTTATCCTTACCAAATATGGGCTGGACCATGGAGTCTAACTGAAGTGTGGCCACGCTGTGCTTCGGTACGGGGAGCTTAGCGGGTGAGGGCCTAAGAGGCATTTGTCAAAAAGGCCCTGTAGGCTCAGGTAGACCCCAGGACAAGCAGGGAACCATGAAGAATTAATCTGTAAAGTCTTTGATCATTGATCAAACAGGGTTCAACCTCTTCCTGCTAAGCAGGAATCTTACAATCAAGTCCTGATACCAAGATTGTAATATTGCCATGCACCCAGGAGGGTCTTACTAGAGTAAATGACTTTTGCAGCTCCTGCCCCCCTGGCCGCAACAGGTGCCTCTCCCACTACCGCACTTTCCTCCCCTCGCTTTTCCCTCCCTTCGAAAATTCTGGCAAGCCCAGGCCTTTAGCAGCCTTCTGGAGGAGCAGTTCAAAGTCTGACTCCACATCTTCAACAGGCCTCCAGTCCCTGACTTCTGCCCTATGTCCGCCAAATCCTACCGATCCCTCCCCCACCGCCACCCAGAGAGTGTTGGGGGTGTGGTGCAGAGGATCGGCTAGATCTCCACGGGTCTGGGAGGACTCCAGGATCAGCCTTTACCCTCCGGTTGCCCAGTTGGCCTCCTCTAAGCTGGCCACCTGTCCGAATGCGCAGCCGAGACTGACCTGAAATGCCGCCCCCCACCACGACCACGTCGCATTTGCTGCTCATGGTGCCTGCTTCTCCGATTTCTGGGCCTGTGCTTTGGCCTGCCCGCTGCTCACTGCCCTGTGCACCGGAGCCTGGGCCGAGCTGCTATAATGCTGGTCCCCAGCGCCTGGACACGCAGCCCCGCCCGCCTGCTCTGCCTACGCGGGGCTGGAGCTCTCAGCCACCTCCCCCCGCCAGAAGCTCTGCGGCCCGCCCAGCAACCCAGGGCCTGTGAGGGTGTGAGGGCGGGCGCCCCAGCCAACAGATGGGGGACTTCTGATTGTCACTCCCGAGAGTCACCACCCCATGGCCTTCTGCGAGGTATTTTCTAATCAGCTTTTTACAAAGCTTGAGGAATGAGAGGTTGACTGATCTGATTGTCTTCCTGCAGTTCCGCAATTACTCCCTCAGGTGTAAAGTAAATAAGAATAAATATTGAGGTTTTTCAAGTGCCCACCACCAGGCCCTTCATCTCTATTCCTATCTTAGTTTACAATAACCCATTTTATAGATGAGGATAGTGAACCAGGAAATAAAGACCCAGGGGGAAAAAAAGACAGAAAAGAAAGAGAAAGACAGAGAGACAGAGACAGGAAGGAGGAAAGGAAGGAAGGAAGGAAGGAAGGAAGGAAGGAGGGAAGGAGGGAAGGAAGGAGGGAGGGAAAGAGGGTAGGAAGTAGGGAGGGAGGGAGGAGGGAGGGATGAAGGGAGGGAGAGAGGGAGGGAGGGAGGGAAAGAAGGAAGCTAACCAGGAAATAAAGACCCAGGGAAAAAAGACAGAAAAGAAAGAGAAAGACAGAGACAGAGAGAGACAGGAAGGAAGGAAGGAAGGAAGGAAGGAAGGAAGGAA